CTTTTTGAAGATGCCCCTGCTGCCCACGTTTTAATGTTCTGCCATGAGATAAGGAATCATCCATTATCCTGTGGAAATTATCTTTGGCCCCACATTCTTGATAAATTAGAATACATGAATCTATTTTAAATTTTCTCTTTTGCTTCAGACTCAGTTAGAACTTTTTGAACATTTTGTAATTTCATTATTGTTAATTACCAGGTTACTTGCTCAAGGAGAAAGGCAATATATATATATTCAATTATATGTAGTATAGTGCAGTACAGTACAGTATATCATAGCATAGTATTAATGTTACATGGTGAATATGGCAAAAAGTGGCTAGCTACTATATTTTATCCAGCTATGAAATGGCAAACTGAACTTGGTAATATATGCTTTCTAATGTCATCATTTCAGAGATATTTTCTTATCTAAACAGAGAAACAGAATGACATTGGATAGGCAAAATATATCAGTGAGAGCAGGAGTGACTTCCTAGTGGCTTTCCCACTGGGCTTTCTTGTGGAAAGCTAGTAGTAAGTGCTGGAAATCATCCTTCCATTCCTCCTCCCTCCCTCCCTCCTCAGCAGGCAGGTAAGTGGCTACTGTTGGGTGGCAGAATGAGTGAGGGAATGCAGGGCGAGCACACATGCACCGGCCTTCCCATGAATTTAGAGGAAGCTGTCAGGGAACGTTGAAAATGAAAATGACATGACCACAACTGACCATGACTGCACAGCAACAGTATTGAAGAAGCCGCATTCAGCAGCACTAAAGTTTAATTCCCTTGGGAGTCATAGGTCCCAGCATTCTGTAGGTTAGCCACATTTGAGGTGCCTTGGTTGAAAAGGTTTTGCCCTCTGATGCACCGCTTGACCCAATTAAAGATTCCAGACGCAATATATAGATATGCATATATCAAAATATAAGATTTGTTTTCCTCCCTCACGTGTTTGTAACAGTTGTACTCAGGTAGAATTATATTCTTTAATTTTCAGTTTGGCATTCAAGAATTGAAGGGAAATAGTATTTTAATGGAATTTCAACCTATTTAGGTTTTTGGTCAGGGCTCTGGGGCTGATTGCAGACACCACGTACAGAAGCTAAATTTGCTACAAGGAGAACAGGATCAGTCACCTGCAGGCAAACTTAGGTATGGTATTAACATGTTGATTGCTCTTTTTTCTATATTTATGCTCACAGGTGTTCTAGGGCAGTGTTTCTCAACCTGTGGGTCGGGACCCCATTTGGGGTCGATCGACCATTTCATGGGGGTCGCCAAGCAAGGCTGTCCGCCATTTTTTTTGTCCGCCATTTTTTCCCCTTTTCCGGTGGGTGCCTTACCTCCCTTGGGCTGGGCCAGCTGGTGGTCGGCCTGCTCCGTCTCTGCTGCTTGCCAGCTACGCCTCGGCCGGCGCAGGGGGCGGAACAACGCATGTGCGGCGCTCCCGGGCAGGGAAAGTCCTCGACTTACGACCGGTTGGGTAGTCCTCGACTTACGACCGGTTTAGTCCTCGACTTACGACCGGTTGGGGTCGCGGCATTAAAAAGGTTGAGAACCACTGTTCTAGGGGATGGGGTACATATATAACACATAATGACAATCATGCAAATATTATCTCTATTTGTATACATGTTATTCTGTGTGTGGTAAGTTGGTGTCATTGTAATTTGGTGCTGATTTACACACAGGCTTTTTTTGCCTGGTAGCATTTATGCCCATCACTGAATGTGAAACTTCTTATTACAAGGATTGATAGATTTCTTTTATTCCCTTACTAAAACAAGGTTGTAGGTATTTTGCATGTACAGTTATACACATTTTCCCTCTTTATACACTTAAACATCAGTTATTCCTGATTTGACAGCTTGCTTTTACTTTTCCATATGTATATAAAGATACAGTTGTATACAGTAGTTAAATGTGATCTACCTCCAGGCGTAAAGAAGAATCAGGGCAAATAAGTGATGAGAATATGGCTGCTAATATCAAGGAAAAAACAGGCTGGCAGGTAAGACTTTTTAATTTGGAAATAGGGTTACAAAGAAGACTAAATTCTACGAATAGTAAAGAAATATTAATTGCATCTATTCCTGAATGGAGGGCCCAATCACAGTCCCTTATGCCCTCATGAAAATTGGACTACTGCAACATGACCTATATGAGTCAGGTCCTGAAGAGCATTTGGAAACTTCAGCTAATGCAGAATGTGGCAGCAGGGCAACTAACGGTGCCAGTTTTTCAGCACGTGACACCACAGCTTCACAAGCTGCATTGATTACCACTTTGCTTCAGTATGCAATTCAAGGTGCTGGTAGTTACTTTGAAAGCCCTTCATAATTAAGGGCTGGACTTATTTACAAGACCATCTCTTCCCTGTTGTTTCTGTCTCTGGTCCATCAGGAAAGGCACGTTGTGGGTTCTGTCAGTGAAGGAGTGTTGGTTGGTGGGGCCCCAAAGAAGGACCTCTTCTGCCACAGTGCCGGCCCTTTAAATGATCACCCTCCTGAGATTAGGTTGGCCCCTACCCTGTTGGCCTTTTGTAAGGTTTGGTAGACTTGGTTCTGTGTCCGAGCCGGAGATCTCAGGTGTGGGACCGAGCCTGTTTCTTGCCTATGTTGAGAGGTTTGTTAACTATTCTTTGGTGCTGTGTGTGTGCTTTAATATTTGTATATTAAACACAACATTGTTTTAATGTTATGAACCTTCCAGAGTACAGTACTTGAGATATTTAGTCTAAAGAAGAGAAAGCTAAGGAAAGAGAGGATAGTAGCCTTCCAAAGATGAAGGGAAATCACATGGAAAAGTGGATTTATTTTCCAAAACACCCATTGTAAGACAAGAACCAACGGATAATAGCTTTACAGTGAGCAATCCAAAAGCAGTAGAACATTCCGCTTCCTGAAGTTGCAGGATCTCCATCAGAGGAAATTTTCCAAAAAAGATTTGTTCAGGATGATATGAGGATTCTTGCACTGAGGAGCATGTTGGATTGGGAAACCTCCAAGGACCTTCCATCCCTCTGATTCTGATTCCCCCTTCCTTTGTTGAAAGGGTAGATGAAAAAAATCAAAGCTTATGGTTTTGAATTGCCATTATGTAATATCAATATCTGAAAGCAACTGGAATCTCTGTATAATTATAACCTTCCTTAATCTTATTGATCAGAACTCAGACTTGTGCCTTGAAAGCTCATTTATTTTGAGAAGTCTGACAGAAACATAGCTGGCACTAAACATCATTATAGAAAAGTATATTTTGCCAAAATCGCCACCTATAAACCAAGTGACAGCTGAGGGTCAAACTGTAGCTCCAACGTTTTAAACAGTATCATCCAAAACAATCTGGATTCATTTTCAACTTGTTCTCCTTCATCCAGACTATTATCAAACTTGGGCAATATTCATTTTGTATCTCTTGAATGGCACGTAAGCAATAATAGAGCTAGGTGTGATCAGTACATTCCAAAGCCACAGATGACCTCATAGGAGTTTGCCTCCATGATTTCATGTGAATGTTGAACAATTTGAGGAAATGGACTGGAACCTTGTACATCCATGAACAACATCTTCTGGAGATGGCCAATAGAAAGGAGAACCACTATATTCCAATCCAATCAAATGGTCGTGTGAAACAGCTGCTAAGCACTCTGATCACGATCACGTGACTGCAGAGTTGCTGGACAGCTAGAACTCCCAAGGACTGGTTGTAACCACAATGGGTGCTGAGCAAATGATCATACATCGAGAACTACCTGTATATAGAAATTACCCTTTTTACATAGTAGCAATAGTTCCTTTCTCAGTGAATATATAGAATACGTCATGTCCACAATAATTATGAGTTAAGAGTATCTGGTGCTTTTGAATTAGACAAATATAGGATAATTACTCTGGCAGGTATCTCTGTGTTCCTGTTGGCAAAGAATGGCGGAAACTTTGAACTATTATTTTATCTAGGTTGGTTTGTATTCCTGCCTTTATAACTGTGATGGAGAGTGCCAAGTTTAGTCCGCTCTCAGCTATGGAAATTTGCTGAGTAACATTGGCATTAACCACTCAACAAGGAATAGTGGATTTAAGTTACAGAATGCCAGATTCTAGTTGAGTATTAGAAAGGATTCCCTAGTAGAATAGTTTGGAGGATAGAGCTCCACTGCTAACATGGTTTCTTTTTAATTAGCACGTATGGATCTATTTCTCGAGTATCCTTTGAAATATAGATCTCCCACTATTGGAACATTTTTGTAGAGTGTTTTGAACACTTCTGAAGATACGTGTTACATGTGTAACCCAGCTCTGTTACCTGTAGTAAATCTCTACTGCAGCAGTCTCCAACCTTTCCGGCTTTGCAGACCAGTGCTGCGGGGGAGGGAGAGGGTTCCAGGCAAGCATGAGCTGTGAGAGTGCATGCATGCCGTTTGAGCAAATGGGAGCTTTGCACCTGCACTCACCTGCTGCTCACACAAGTGGAGCTGCCTGGGCTCACCTGCCGCTTCTGTGGCCCAGTTCCAAACAGCCCATGGCCAGTGATGGGCTGCAACCCAGGGGTTGGGGACCACTGCTCTACTGTGTAACTAGTGTAACACTTTTCCATTTGGCAATTAATGTTGAGCTTTCCAAGCTGAAATGTTAATTTGTGGGAGAACTGTGTTTTTGACCAATCAATGACCCTGACAGGCCTGACAATTCTAGAGGGTAACTATTAACACGATCCTTACAGTTCAAACTGCAATCACCATCCCAGAAATGAAATGGCTATAGAATAAGAAAGCTCTGGGAACTATAAAGATAACCTATCAGTTGAAAGCTTCTTCCTTTAGCATTTAAGAATTGACATTGTCGCAATTTTTGTTTTTTTATTTTAGGATAAGAGACATTTAGCCATGGTTAATGTAAAAAGCTGTAGAGATGATTTATCTGACAGTATAATTCCTGTGACTGAAGACTATGTGCTACAAAGAAATAAACAACAGCCAGAATCAAAACTAACTGGACTTTCAAAATGGAATAAATTCCTTTTATCTGACAAGAGTTATAATATTGACACAACAGGTGGAAGGCAAAGGACATCAGACAAAACACCTGCTGCAGGCACAAGTGATGAAAGAGCCACCACTTCTGGTGGTGGGTGTGGTAGCTGGCATCTCAAACCACAACAGAATGTATTAACCTGCTTTGACAGAGCAAAAGAGGTTTCCATCTCTGATCACCCTGGGAAAATCAGCAAATACTCTGCAGGTTTGGCTACTTGTCAAGATAAGGCACAACCTGCAGAATTTACTTCTTCAGGGTCCTCTGCTCCTGTTAAATCAAACAGCCTTTATGGAAGTCTTTTTTCCACAGAAGAGGATTTTGATGATGATATTTAAGGCCCTACAGTGAGATTTGCTGATTTTCCAGTGAGATGGTTTAAAATAATAGCAATATGGCCTGCATTTAAAATTACTCAGTGTTGAATAATGAAGTGGGTTATATTCTGGTCATATTATTTTAGGTATGGCTTTAATGATTTGTGGAACTATGCTGTATGCCAAAATTATCAAAAGTACTGTATTGTTAATGGGACTGCTATTATTGATACAAGAGGCATGGAAAACATTTCAAAGGCTTTCTACAAAAATCAAATTTTGGGACAGGTGATAGCTTAAAAAAGCTAACACTATTATTGGTATCTATTTTCTTTAATAAATTGATATACCTGTAATTAAACAAATTTGTTATAACTAAAGCACTAAAATAAAAGTGTCTAATAATCACATGGCTGCATGATGGTGACTAAAGATGGAAGATTCACCAATGTGAAAGCAAAATATCCTTGTCCTGACCGTGCCATTGCCACAACTTGAAGGTAAAAGATCACCTGTGATAACTTTAAACTAGTTCTCTTCCTTATGTAATTATTAACCCTTACCCAGCGCATGAGGTAAAGAAACTAAATTTTGAAAGTTAGTATGATTATGTTATCTGTGAATATGGAATTACAATCAGATCATTACAGAAAGGAGAAAGATATAAAAAGAGGCTTTAACAATGTTTTAGGAACTATGAGTTATACAAGAGCTATTCGGAACTGGACGGTTGCTTGGCATACTGGATAGCGTCCAGGGCTGCCCCAATGTCGTAGCTCTTGGAATGCAGCAGGTGAGTTAACCAGCCTCCTGTATCAGAGAATCCCATCGAGAGCATCTGGGACAAGGATTCAATCAGACGAGGGTCTGCTTCTGTAAACAGAATGAATTTCAGCATGTTACATTCGTTGGTCCATAAAAATAGTAATCACACACCTGAAATTTGCAATTCCACACCTGAATTTAATTAAATTCAACAATTATTACTAATATGAAGTCATTTTTAAAAAGACACTTTATAGAACAATCCTTAATCTCAAATCTAATAATCATAATAGGGATTGATTTTCACAAAATGCAAAGCTTAAAACAAACCCGATTATAATCAGCCATATAAATTAAAATTCAGGTTGAAGGTAGATCTTTCAAATATTCCTAAATTGATTTTCTAGCTAAATGATGTTTATATTACCATTCCATAACTTAGGCAATAAAAGTGTCAGGTGACCTATAATGCTGCTACTTGTAAAAGTAGACATTGTGTTAGAACTTTCTTTAGATCAGACTGCCATTTGGGCAGAGGATTTCTTCCCTTGATTCGCTGTATACTGTAGGACCTTGCCTTTCATCAAGAATGGTTTGGAAAAAGTGTTTCAACTCTTGTACAAGCATGCAAAGCATATCAGCTCTTCACTAAAGCAGCTTAGCTATTTTTGAACTTCTGTGCAAGCCTAAAAAGATGATGATGCTATAATTCTACCAATGCTTTAATAATATTTTTGTAGAAATATTTGTAGCCAAATTTATTAGGACATGATCATTTCTATAAAATAGTTTTGGAGCCTGCCTAGTTCTTATTACCAGGTGGAAGATGAGGGTACATTGCGGCTTCTCGCAAGCCTGTTGGTCCAGCATTAGTGGGAGCTTCTACTGGATTTAGAGATTTTGGACTGTCTTCCTCTACCATTTGTAAGGACTGCAATTCACCAGTTGAAGGATCTACTTCCTTTGAAGATAAATGGGTCCAGTCCTCATCTGCTGCTAAACTACCACTGGATTCGCTTCGTTCCTGGAATATACAAATACATAAAATGTTAGCAAGCCTACTTTCACTAGCTATATTTACAACTCCATCTAGAAATGGTAGCTTGCTTTTTACTAATTCAAAAGAAGCAGACTACCTCTATATTATATGTCTATATTACAACAGATAGTAAATCCTACAACATACACAGAAATATCACTCCTCCCAGAATCTAAGGACATGAAAAAAAATTTCAATTCAGGTAGGAGGTGTTCCAGAGAACTTGGATATTCAATTCCACTTCACTCCATGCCCATCTGAGGCAGTTCAGCCATTTCATACAAGGGTCTAGTACCATGGTGGCAAACCTATGGCACGTGTGCCGCAGGTGGCACGCAGAGCCCTCTGTAGGCACATGCGCCATCAGCCCAGTCCTAGGCCTTCAGCTGGCTTTAGGCCTCCACCGCCATGTGCAAAAAAAAGGTTCAATCAATCAATTTCAACTTCTCACAGGAAAAAAAAGATCTCGCAAAGTTGGAATTGATTGATTGAACTTTTTAGTCCCACCCAGTCTGCCGTTACCATTGCAGCCACACCCACCCAATGGGCCACACCCACCCAGCACCCGACGATACATAAGTGGGTTTTGGGTTGCAGTTTGGGCACTCTGTCTCTAAAAGGTTCACCATCACTGGTCTAGTATGAGCAAGCTTAAGATTAAATATTAACAATAAAGCACACTTTATTATAAGTATTAACAAGTTATTTTTCTCTTGCAGGTTACAAAGTTTATCGTATCCCCAAAGCTTCAGCATTCTTGGAGCAGCAATTAACATATCTTTAGGCATGCAAAACTGTCATTTCTTGTACCTGTGACAAAGTAGTCTCTTCTTCCATCTGTGCAGGAGGAGAATAGACTATCATCTCCTGCATTTGGTTTGAAAGAGCATCACTTATGTCTAGATTATTTTCAGAATCTGCTTCTGGTTTGGTCTGCTCAGTCGGACTGCTAGGCTTGGGGCAGCTCTTCTCCGAACTAGGTTGCGCAGGTGATGATACTTTGCTTCTTTGACCCTCATGTTCTACATCAATATCCACTTCAATGCCTAAAAAAGCAGTTGACATGGGTTACGTTAATGACATACTGCAGTATATTCGTGGGCATCACTAAATTTCTGTCTGTTTATAACTCTAGTTCTATCGTATTTTGTCTCAAAACTAGACATTAATTCTTCTGTCGTCCACCCCCTACTCCAAAGGCAACGTATTTCCAAATAAATCATCATTTGGGAGAACATAAAAATGAGCAACTAGATTACATCAATTGGGTGTCGCATCAGTTATTCTCTGGTCCTTGATGCACGAGTGCCAGCTCATTCTTAGATTACACATTAATACAGTGGTTCTCAACCTTTTTAATGCCGCGACCCCAACCGGTCGTTAGTTGAGGACTAAACCGGTCGTAAGTCGAGGACTACCCAACCGGTTGTAAGTCGAGGACTTTCGCTGCCCGGGAGCGCCGCGCATGCGTGGTTCCACCCCCTACGCCGGCCGAGGCGTAGCTGGCAAGCGGCAGAGACGGAGCAGGCCGACCACCAGCTGGCCCAGCCCAAGGGAGGTAAGGCACCCGCCGGAAAAGGGGAAAAAAATGGCGGACAGCCTTGCTTGGCGACCCCCGTGAAATGGTCGATCGACCCCAAATGGGGTCGCGACCCAAAGGTTGAGAACCGCTGCATTAATACATGAGAGCTTCAAATGCTTAGATACTACTTAGGCATCACATTGTCAGTATGCTTAATCACTGTTAATTTATTAATGATATTAAAGGATGATTATAGTTGACAATATATATAAACGAAACCCTACTTTCAAGGTATCTTACATAATATAGTATTCTATATTTTTCATTGAAGTTTGGGTGAGCCAAATCAATACAAAGGTTGGCCTCTGGGAAGTTCACAAGAGGGACAAGAAAACCAGTATTTAATATTGTTAAGCCTCCCAGAGTTACCTTGTGGTAAGATGGGCGGTTAATAAATTTTACAAATAAATATATTTTATAAATAAAAATATACAGTGAAAGGAACTGTTTACCAAGTGGACTCAGGAACGCAGCAACACTTTCTCCAACATTCTTCAGGAAACTGACGTTGTGATCTTGAGCTTCACTGCTAGTGGTTTCTTCTATAAAGCAAAAGTATAAATGATACATATATAACCATTATTCAAGACAAGAATTTTATGAGTTTATCAATCCTGACTAGGGATGGGTATGTGTGCACATGTATAAAATTAGATATATAATTTTAAGATGATACTTTTTAAGAAGAAGAACTTTTATATAAACAGCATTGGCAAGGAAATAATTTTTAGACGGACATTAGATTTTTGCTAATTTATTTTGCACTTAAAAGACTCCTGTTATTGCAACTTTGATTTCTTACCGCGCGCTGGAGCATCACTTTGAGAAGAAGTACTAGCTTGTGCCTGGCTGTGATTCTGGTGATGATGGCCAAAACGCCGGTGTCCCCTACCGTGCATCCAGCGAAAGGAGCAAGGGTCGTGTCTCATTTTACGAAGCCAGCGACCCTGGAGAAGCCACTAAAGGGTAAACAAATGTTTTTTAAGCTACAGCAGCTTTAAAATACACCACAAACTGACCTTATAATTTTTACAAATTATCTTTGAATATCTGGCTTTCTTCATAATACTAACCTCAAGCTGATCGAATGGACTTGGAAACATGATCATGTTATGCTCTTTATGGATACCTTTTCCCTCACAAGTGCTGCACAGGTCATAGTCTGGACAAACTGCACATTTGAATCTGGAACCCACAACTGGGCCCTCACAACCATCACAGACCACATTAGGATGCACGAGGTTTGGAGAATCCTCCTTGTTGCAGGAATGGCGGTTCATATGCTTAAGCTCCTTTTTTTCTGAAAGACACAAATATAATGTCAGAACCCATATTCTAAGGGGGCTCTTTTCTATCTTTAACCCATACTCTAGTCTTTCTATACTTCTGCCATGCTCCTGGAGGGGAGGGGGGAAAGCACTGCGGGTTATTGCTCTGATTTCCTCTATCACTACACTGTAACACTTTGCTGTTTCTGCATACTTCCTCTGCGAACTATCTCTCCCCTTGATGTCAGCTAGAAAGAGGGGGGAGAAGAAAGGAACGTGCCTCCGGTTTGGAAGGGAAGCTGTGAAGAGCCAACAAAACCTGCTGCAACCCTGAGACAGCCTGGTGTTATCTGCTCTTTCCCACAACAGACTTAACACCTGGGGATTGGACCATGTGAACTGACCGGATAAACTTTGGGGTGGGGTTTGCTTGGGACACTTTTAACCTATTGAAATCCTCAGATCCTGTCTAGTATGCCTGCTATCAGCTTCTCCTAATAAAAGTTCCTTTTGGAAGAAACTGCTCCCACGGGTTCTGCTTCCTTAGGATGAGGTTTGAAGTGGCCCCTGACATATAAGCTATTGTTCAACTATAACCGTGCTGATCAAACTATAACAGGTAGTCCTCAGCGTACAACAATTTGTTTAGTGACTGTTCAAAATTACAACAGCTCTGAAAAAAGTGACTTATAACCATTTTTCATACTTAATGACCGCTGGAGCTATCCCCATGGTCACATGATCAAATTTTGGGCTTTACCTTGTTTAGCAACAAATTACTTCTTGCTATAGATGGCTTATATAGAAAAGGTACAATGTCCTAATTACCTTCACATAGTATTTTAGCTGTAACAAGAAATTATTCTTAGAAATTATAATTGCAAGAACAATTGTCAAAAGTGAGGAGTTGCCACAATCCTCAACTTACAACCATTCATTTAATAACTGTTTGAAGTTACGACAGTACTGGAAAAAAGTGTCTTATAACACTTATGACTGCTACAGTGACCCCATAATCAAAATTCAGGCACATGGCAACTGGCATGTATTTATAATGGCAGCAGCATCCCAGAGCCATGTGATCACCATTCCCAGGAGGCTTTCAATAAAGTCAATGGGGGAACCCAGATTCGTTTAACGCTCACAGCAAAAAAGGCTGTAAAAGTGGGCATCATTTAATGCCCAAATCACTTAGTGAGATGTTCCAGTCCCAACTGGTGTAAGTCAAGGATTATTTGTATTTTAATTTCATATCCACCATTGCCTTTAATTTTCTCTGATTTCTACTTAGCCTGAAATAATATTTCCAATGAGTTTCTTGCATAAAGATTATGAATTGAAAATAATCTGTGTAGTGCAGGTTCTTTATTTTGAACCAACTCCATAGCCCAGAATGTATAAGAGTACAACTGCCACACACAAATCAATGTTACCTTTAACAAAAATCCGGAAAACTCCAGCTTTCACAGCAGGTGGAACCAACTTCAATTCCTCATCACTGGAAAAAGCGATCATATCACCATCTTCATCTGAAAAGAAATAATAATCCATTTACTATTTGATAGAAAAGATATGCAATCATAGTCTGAACAATTCTTATGTAACATGCCACCTGTGTGGCTCCCAAGTCCCAGAATTCCCCAGCTAGCATGCTGGCTAGGGAATTCTAGGACTTAAGTCCACACATCATACAATTGCCAAGGCTCAAAAACACTGCTCTACCCAAAAGCAAACAATCTACAGACTGCATATCTCCTACCTATCTAATTCAATTCAATTAATTTTCTACTGACTGCTTTATGCAAAATATAAAAAGTATTATGCCAGTCTCTATTTCAAGGCTAAAATCAAGTGACAAATAACAAGAACTCCAATGAGAGATTGTTTTGACTACTGATTAAGACACCTGGCTAGTAACCAAGAGACTGTGAGTTCTAGTCCTGTTTTAGGCATGAAAGCAGGCTGGGCGATGTGGGATCAGTCATTTTCTCCCAGCCCACAATATTATGCTCGGGTGACAAACTGGTTGGTCAATTCCAGCTGCAACCAATGGATCAACACTCAACCTGAAAAAAGCAGACCCTGCATTTGGGAGAAAAACCTAGGATGGAAAAAAAAATTAAGAGACTCCAACAAGTTTTAAAGAGGCCTAGAAAAGGAGTAAAATTCAAAGTACGATTTTATATGGATCTAGGTAGTAAACAGTTATTATCTTTATTCTCAATCTGGAAAAGCAGGCATCAGGTTCTTTTTGTAACTCTTGGATGTCAAACACAAACTCAGTCATACCATACTGTTGCAAATGATAGAAGAAATACTGTCTTTAAAAAACTCTAGAGAAACAAGTAGTAAGATTTCTACTGGATTGCAAAACAGAATAAAGAAAATGTATTTCTTCTCTGAATCAATCAGTAATTATTATCTCAAATTAATGCCGTGGTTTTCCATGGTGGAGGGGGAAAATGATGAAAACATCATTTAGATAAAAGATCTGATGTAAGCTCCACCCGTTTTCTATAAAGAGAAATGTAATCCTTCCAGTACCTTTCCAGAGTTACACTACCCAATCATCTAACACAATGTTTCTCAACCTTGACAATTTTAAGGCATGTGGACTTCAACTCCCAGAATTCCACAGCCAGCAATACTGGCTGTGGAATTCTGGGAGTTGAAGTCCACATGCCTTAAAATTGTCAAGGTTGAGAAACACTGATCTAACACAATCCCTTCATTCACAAGGAAACAATTTACCCCACTACAGGTCAATACTACATGACTTTGCTTTTTGTCCAGCTTTTGCCAGAAGTGAATTCAAAGCCATTCTCTAACACACCTCTTTGAACATATCTGTAATAAGATCTCACTATAGCTTGAGAAGAGTACCAAAATATTCTGAAGTTACTTTTCCCCAAAACTAATTAAAGATTAATTAATTAAAAACTAAGAATTTAAGCCAGAGTTTCTGGAATTTGTACATAACATACTGCACAATAGCAAGAAATAAACTTTCTCAAGCCTTTTTTTTTTTTTTTTGCAAAACTTGAGGCTTGTGTCTGTTCTGTTCACATGAGGTAATAGGACTACTTTTAGGGCAGCAAAGTTTAGAAAGAATGGTCACAACATACCAAGGACATTGGACCTTTAACTACTGCATGAAAGTTTATTTTGCCTATGTGAAGTCATAATTGTTTGTTTATTCTTGTCCTACTGTGGATCACCTATTAAAGTTTGGAATTTGGACCAGGATATTATATCAACAAAGTTTTTTCTAAACTGCTATAAGTAGTCCTTGACTTACAACCACAATGGAGCCCAAACTTTGTACTGCTAAGAAAGACAGCCGTTAAGTGAGTTTTGCTCCCTTTAACAAACAATCTTTCTTGCCACAGTTAAGTGAATAATTGAAGTTAAGTTAGTAATATGGTTAAGTGAATCTCACTTTCCTATTGACTTTTCTTGTCAGAAGGTCATAAAAGGGGATCACATTACCCTGGGACACCACAACCATCAAAATACATGCTAGTTTCCAAGCAGCGGCGGCGGCGGCTGCAAGTCTTGTGAAAAATGGTCATAAGTCACTTTTTTCAGTGCTATTCTAACTTTGAATGTTCACTAAACCAATGGTCGTAAGTAGAGGACTACCTGTATTGATTCTTAGTTTATAAGCTGAACTTTAGTATATGAATTCAGTCAATAGAAGATATAGAGGCTGAGTTGCTGGCCTAGAAATCGGGAGACGGTGAGTTCTAGTCCTACTTTAAATGTGAAAGCTAGCTGGATGGCCTTGGGCCTGACTCTCAGATCAACCCACGTCACAGTGTTGTTATTAGGAAAATAGGAGGAGAAAGGAATATTACTTCCTCGAGTTACTCATAAAGTAACATAGATGGGATAAAAATCTAACAGTTTCCTGCTGCACAACCACGATCAAGAAAATCTCCAGCCTGATGAACTGAGTGTCCATAAAAAAAAAGGGGATATCCCAGATCCTAGGGCAGGGGTAGGCAACCTTGGCTCTTTTATGACTGGTGGACTTCAACTCCCAGAATTCCTGAGCCAGCACAGCTGGCTCAGGAATTCTGGGAGTTGAAGTCCACCAGTCATAAAAGAGCCAAGGTTGCCTACCCCTGTCCTAGGGGAAGGGGTTGAAAATTCTTGGATTTCCACTCGTTTATTTAAATAGACACCCGCATTTAGGGTTCTTATCTCCTGGCAGTACAATAAGCTCCAGCCTACCTAAACCTGAAGAGAAGGAAGCGCTAACAAGCCCCAGCAGGCACCAGACTTTGGGTGCCGCGCTCCATACGATGCAGCCGCGCCACCCAAGATCGCTGCCCGCCCTCCTCCGGCCCCTTCGATCCCTCCGTTGCTCACCCTTATAGTACATCTGAAAGGCTCCCGTGGCGGCGGCAGAATTGCGGAGCAGCCCCTGGAAAAGCTCGGCCACCTTCTCCCGTATCGGCTGGTAGCGGGCGGGCAGGTCGACGGCGAAGCGCCGGATCTCGCGGGTGGTCTCCTCTTTGCCCAGCAGGTAGGCCTTGATCGTCAGCTGAGCCATCGCGGCGACGGCAGCGGCGCTGGATTTCTATGGCGCAGCAACAAATTGGCGCTCGGGAGGCCGGCTGAGGAACAACAGCAGCAGCAGCAGCGATTCAACAACCACGCAAGCAACGTCCTTTCCACCGCTGCCTGCCGATGACGACCCGCCCCGGCTATTTATGGGCGCCGCAACCCACGGAAAAGGGGCGGGCTTCAGGTGGGAAAGTCCCCGCGCTGGCGAGGCGAGAATAATAACAATAGGTACCAAGGGGAGATGGGACGAGCTCTCGGTCCCCCGCCCCCCCCCCACGCTTTCCCCGCACCCTCCGAAGGGAATCTTCTCGATTTTGTGAGAAAAAAAAAGGAAGGGCAAGACAACCGCACGAGGCCGTTGCGACGCCGCGATTGGCCTCGGGCTTCCCCCCCCCCCACTCCCCCTCCAGCGGGATGGCGGTGGCGAATCAAAGTTTCGGCCTGCAGGGCTGAGCTGGGCCTAGCAAAACCTTCCAGAGCCACGAGTGAGCGTTACTCAGCATTTCCTTGGCTTCCAGTGGTGAGAACGGGGGACGAGAGCAGGCCCCGGCGCCTGCTGGCCCTGCGGCGGGAGGGAACAAGAGTCGCTTCCGCGAATCAGGACGCTCGGCGTCCATTTTCCCGATTTGCTGACTCACGTCGTGACACACAAAAAAAAAACCGCCAGAGTGGAAAGGTTTTACAGGCCTTGCCCATCCCCCAGGTTGGTGGCGGAGACTTTCTCAGACTACCTGCAACAGGTAGTGGTGGAGACCCTAGCACAGTGTTTCTCAACCTTGACAATTTTAAGGCATGTGGACTTCAACTCCCAGAATTTCACAGCCAGCATTGCTGGCTGTGGAATTCTGGGAGTTGAAGTCCACATGCCTTAAAATTGTCAAGGTTGAGAAACACTGCCCTAGCAGCACTTCCATTACCGGAGCGGGGATTGTTTTGCTTTTCACTAGGCAATATGTAGAGCCGAGTGCAGCTTGCTTTGGGGTAAACACACATATAGAAGGAATTTGGTGGTACTGATCACTTGGAGCGAGTCTCGATTAATGTAGGCTTACTTCTGGGCCATATACGTATAAGCCTCGCTGGTTCCTTGATTGTGCTGTTGTTTACTGGTAACTCGTAGTAAGCAGCCCAATCAAGGATAAAAAAATGACAGCAGACTCCACTCCCTACTAGCACTGAAGTTTGGGTAATAAAAAGTCTCACGAAAACAACCAAACTCAAAGAACACCAAGTGCTCTACAGTTCAATCCTGAGCTACAGATATTCTCTTCTATTGGTACCATGAGTTCTAAAACATTTTTAGGTAATGCCAACTAAATGACATGGGCCATCCAACCCTAGGAAGGAGGCAAGGCAGACAACTTCTGAAATCTTGCCATTGCCAGGATTTGCCCAAGCAAAGGACAGGAAACAATAGATTCAAAGGCACCCAAAAATGAAGATTGCACCTCTCCCCCCCCCCACACACACTTTTAGATATGACCAGGTGAAACCCAGATGCTCTCTTTGCTTTATCCCATCAAACCAAAATTGACCCACCCTGTCCCAGATAAAACTGTCTGCAATCCCATTTAGACCACAAAGCACTGAAGCCTCTACTTACAGCACCTGGCAACACTACAAAGGAATTGCAACCCCATCATCCCTTTATCAATTTCCTTAACAATTAACTTCCTCAGATCTGTTGCCCTCCTGAAAAACCCATTTTGCATAACAATAGAACTCAGGTACACTGACCAGGACCTGCCAAGCTTCTCCAAACTGGCCAATAAATCAGATCCCTAGGATAGCCTTCAATTTCTATAAAAATTCTCTGCTTTTCCATTGTTAAGGGTCTGTCTGTCTTGAAAAGCAGACATCCAATAAACATTGCAATAATAATGGTTTTTCTCAATATTGTGCTTTGGCAAAATTCCAGAAGAGTATATTTACACCAAGCAAGAGTTAAAGAATAGCTTAACCCAAATGTTTATGTAACATGCAGCCCCTCTGCTTCATGAGTTGCCATAGTTGCCAGCCTGCTTCTGGGTGTGATTCAAGGTGCTGGTCACTACATATAAAACCTTACATGACTTACAACCTGGTTACTTGAGGGACTGCCTATCTCCCAAAGTGTCTGCCTGGCCAGTTTGATCTGGCAAGGCTGGGATGTTCTAGGTTTCTTTGATTAAATAATGTAATTGATCAAGACTCTGAAAGCACATCCGCTCGGTTGGAGCACCTACCTGCCCTTTGAAATGAGCCCCCCCCCCCTTCAAACATTCCCTTCCCAACTGCTATTTTAAATGGCCCTGAAGACTTAGCTCTTCAATCTGGCCTTTGACAAGGATTGATGCTCCTTTTTTCCATATTACCGTTTGGGTTTGTTTTCTTTGCCTTTTTTTCTTTGATTATATTTTTTTGTGTGTTGTTTTTAAATACTTTCAAGAGTTTGCAAACTACTCAGTCACTGGGAATTCAGGTGGCATATTATTTTCTACAAGTGAGAGAGAAAAGCTCAGTTAGGAAAAGCTCTCCCTTGATCTCCTGCCCATGTTACTCTTCATTACATCAGTTGTCTTCCAGAAGATTCAAAGACATAATTTGCCTTCCAGAAGATTCAAAAGAAAGTAAATAGGACTCCTATTATCAAAAGGAAATTAGCTCAGCTGATAATGACTCATTCTGTGTCCCATGACTGCTTTAAGTCCACCTCTTTCTTACTGCCCTAGCTAGAAAAAATAGTACCTGCATAATCACTACCCCACAGCTTATGTAGGCATGGCTGTATCTACATAATACATTAACCCAGGTTCTTATATAGTAAACTGAATTATAAAATAGCTATGGGGCTGGTACAATATGAGAGCCTACACTTCTTGAGAAAGAACAAAAACTGACAGGTTTTCAATAATGAAAACATTAAATATAATAAACAAGAGCTGTACTTTGCCCACAACATTTGTCTTCTTAACTAGAATGACTAATCAGATTTATTTTATTGAGACATTCAGGAAAATAAAGGGGAAAAATAAAAAACCACAAGTGGTCTCAGCTATTACTGAGAGAATGGAGCATTCCATACCTTTGGGGCTGGTATTCCTCTTCCCTACCTATCTTTTTTGTTGTAAAAATTTGACCCTGTTCACATTTTTTTTAAGTAAAAATCAATGTATGGATTAAAAAATACAGCCTCCATTCCTTAATCTAGCTTGGTTCCCATAAAAATAGAGCTTTCTGGCTTTGAAATAAATTGCACCTCTCATTAAATTGTCTTTTTAACTACTATTAAAGAGGCCATAAAATGTTAAACAAAAACCACATGAAACTCACTTTGTATGTCACATTGCTCTTATAGATGAAGGACCATTCGGAAAAACTGTAATTATTAGATACTTAAATCTGCTTAAGATTGGTAATTAATGACTGAATGACATTTGTCATTTCTTAGTAGGGACATGTTAGTTCACAAGACTTTTCCTCCTACCCCCAACCTCTAAAGTGCTTTATGTTTAAACATTTGGATTTCCTGACAGAAAATCTATGTGATGGAAATGTTTAGTCACAAAGAATCCCCCTGTGATGGAATGTAGTGAGGAGGTGGATTTCCAGGAGAGAGGAGTGCATTCCAGAGGAGTAAGAGGCAACACAGTCCATATCTTATGTGTGTGTGTGAAGACAGCCCCTTCCTAATAGTTCACAGAGTATATAGTAGATGCAGTTAGTAGAGTGCTCAGTTTGGCAGGATTTTGGCTATAAGTATGAAACAATAAAAGAACTCTGCTTGATAGAGTCTCCATGAGTCATTTTTTGGTTTGGGGCCTGACACCACCACAATCTCCTAATCTGTTCTGCACTGCTGGGTCTAATGTAAATGTTGCAAGGATGACTCAACTGAGTCCCATGATCAATTTCTATTCTCCACAAATCCTACAGAGGGAGCTCTAGGCTGGGATTAGATCATGCCAACATCCTGGTAGCTGCCACCTTTGATTCAAGCAGTGTATGGCAGTCAAGGACAATATTCCAGAATTTACTGGAATGTTCTCACTTTATGCCAAGTTATTAATATTTAAGAGACTTAAATTGTTTTTTGAAAGAATTCTAAGGATCCTACATATGGAAGAGTTTGATAGATAAGCAATGTGACAGGTGTGCCAGCTCTGAGCGCTACAGATATAAGACTAGCCTGATTTAATCTTTGCTTAATTTAGTAATTTGGATGTTACTTTTGCACTGTTAGTGTGTCTGCTATGGCAGAGGCAAAACTGTTTAAAAAAGAGATAGAAATATCGCCATAATTTTCATATAGAGCAATATATAGAAGGAATTAAAAATGACACATTTATTTTTTTTCAAAAATCTTAATTAATTATAATAAGATCATAGTGACATTATTTTTTCTCCCAGAATAGCAAGCTAACTTTCTTTAAAAAGGCATATAATACAGGACAGCATACAAGGCTTATAGATTTCTAAAGACTAAATAAACATTCATTATAATCATTGAAAGATGATGATGATGATGATTATTATTATTATTTATATTTTTACCCCACCCTTCTCCCTGCGGACTCAGGGATGAAAATATGATTAGGAAAGGTAATGGAAATCTTAATCTGTTTTGCTTCAAATGTCTGTTTCTGGTTCACTGATGGCAGTTCCAGCTCTATTACAGGATCAAAGGAGAAGTCTTTGTCCCAGAAATCTGGTTTAATAGCCCTGCGAGTATGGCTGAGTCCAGCTCAGTAATTTCCTGGTGGGAAAGAACAGATCTATAGAAACCTCAACAATTATTCACTAGTTCTATATGTGCTGTTATCTATAATATCGCAAAACATAAAAGAAATGCTCATTTGTGTAACTAATGTTTTGTTTTGTTGAAAGAAAAATCATCAGGTCCAGTCCAAGCTGGGAGTAAACAAAATGGAGGCTAATACGCTGGAAATAAAATGGAGGCTGTTTGGAAAGAAGGTTTGTTTATTGAAGGGTAGAACAGCAACCACTTGCAATTCTGGGATAGCTGACAAAGTGGAGTTGGGGGTGGGTTTTTATACCTTATTTGGGCTTTTTGCTTATGAATAGGTGG